ACGAAATTTTAAAAACTAAGAATTTTATCGAATCTGTTAAAAATCAGTAACTTTTTATGTATTTATTAGCAAACAAAAGGCTAAAAATATTTTAAACAAATTTCAGTTTAATATTTTCAACTGCTTATTATTACACTAACTTTAAGATAATTCTTTATAAAAATCACTCCGTTTTTCTGCCTACATTTGTAGTATGGAAATTTTAAAAAATACGCTACAACATTTAGGCATAGAGCAATTAAATACAATGCAAAAAACTGCAAATACTACAATTATTGAAAATGAAAACACACTATTATTATCTCCAACTGGAAGTGGTAAAACACTCGCTTTTTTGTTGCCAATTTTTCAAAAATTAAATCAGGAAAACAAACAAATACAAGCTTTAATAATTACACCAACACGCGAATTGACATTACAAATTGAACAAGTTTGGCGAAAAATGAAAACCAATTTTAAAGTAAATGTGGCACATGGTGGACATGCAAAAAGTATAGAAAAACATAATTTTATTTCTCCACCAGCTTTGCTTATTGGAACGCCAGGTAGAATTGCCGATCATATAAAATCTAAATCTTTTTTATTAAAAAATATAGAAATATTGGTTTTTGATGAATTTGATAAATCTTTAGAGCTGGGCTTTCATGATGATATAGCATATATTGTTTCGCATTTAAAAAATATAAAAAAAAGAGTGTTAGTTTCTGCAACACACCATATCGAAATTCCAAAATTCATCAATACCTACAAAATGATTGAATTGGATTTTATTACGGAAAATGAAAACAAAACATTATTGGAAGTAAAAATTATTGAGTCGGAAAACAAAGACAAATTGGATACTTTAATTCAATTAATATGCAATATAAACTCAGAGCCAGCAATCATTTTTTGCAACCATAGAGAAGCTGTAGAAAGAACTCATTGGGAATTAAAACAAAAAGGGATAGATTCAGTTTTTTATCATGGTGGAATGGAGCAAGATGATAGAGAACTCGCTTTAATTAAATTTAGAAACCAAAGTGCCCATTTTTTAGTTACTACCGACTTGGCTGCGCGTGGACTAGACATACCCTCAGTAAAACATATTATACATTACCATTTACCTAATAAAGAGGAAGATTTTGTGCATAGAAATGGGAGAACCGCACGAATGAATAAAAATGGAACTGCTTATTTGATTTTACATACGACAGAAAAACAACCTGTTTTTATAAAAGAAAACATACAAAAGATGCAATTAAATACTACAACTAATTTACCGAAAAATACAATTTTTGAAACTGTTTATATTGGAGGTGGCAAAAAAAATAAATTAAATAAAGTAGATATTGTTGGATTCTTCATACAGAAAGGAAATATAGAAAAAGACGATATTGGCTTGATAGAAATAAAAGACTTTACAGCTTATGTAGCTATAAAAAAAGAAAAAATAAAATCTTTATTTATAAAAATAAAAGAAGAAAAATTAAAAGGAAAAAAATACAAAATCGAAATTTCTAAATAAAGCACAAATACTTTGAGGTATAGAAATCATTGTTATTCTAAAAAAACTATCTATATTTAGAAAAATTAATCATGATGAGACGATATTTACTTCTACTTGGAACTCTTTTTATATTTAATGTCCTGTCTGCACAAAATTGGATTGATTCTTTGGATAACTATGTAAGAGAAAAAATTAGTCCTCCACAATCTTTCTTTCCTGGTTGGCAAAACGCAGCTGTGTTGCATGCCATGGATTTGCAATATGATATGATGCCAACGGCAGAAAAGCAAAAATATTTTAATTATGTAAAATCTGCCATAGATAGAAATTTATTAATTCTAACTGGATTTTGGCCCAATCCCACTTCTGTTAGCAATGGGCTTGGTTTTCTTTATAGAGTATCTCAAAACCCAATCTATTTAGATGTTGCAAAACGAGTGTATGAGCAATATAAAAATATTTTAAGAACAAGTAACGGTGGCGTATCGCATGTACCTTATGCACCCGAATTGTGGGACGATACAGTTTATATGGTAGGTGTCTTTCTTTTATCATTGTATAGAGCAACCAATGACGAAAAATACATTCTGGAAGTCATCGATCAAATTAAAAAACATAAAGAAAAATTAGTTGTAGATGAATGGGGATTGTGGGTACATGGCTGGGATGATAATAATGTTTTTGATTTTGATTTTTGCTCTCAAAGTAATTGGGCACATCCAACAACACGCAAAAGTGCTGAAATTTGGGGTCGTGGTAATGGTTGGGTAATTCTTACTTTAAGTGAAGTGCTTAATAATTTACCAAGAAATCATCCTGAATGGCAAAATACAGCAAACATGCTGAAAGACATGATTGTAAATTTGCCAGCTTTACAAGATGAAAATACTGGACATTGGTATCAACTGACCGTTAGAAAAGGAGAAACTGGAAATTATATTGAAAGTTCATCTACGGCAATGTTTGGCTATGGTATATTAACGGCACTTAAATATGGCATTGTAGAAAGTGATTCATTTAAAAATGCTATGGATTTGGCGTACAATGGTCTTAAAAATAATAGTGTTGCAATAGTTGGAAACAATGACAAACCTTATTTGAATACCCAAAATGTTGCATTAGAAACGTGCTTAGGTAACAAAGAATATTATTTCAATATCAAAACGGGAAGTGGGAAAGCATACGCTTCAGCTGTTTATATTATTTTTGGCAGAGCTTATGAGGCTTATAAAAAAGGGCAAATAACCAATATCAAAAACTCAAACAACAACAACTATGCTATTCAGGTTTATCCAAATGTAGCTAGTATGTCAGCAGATTTGAATATTAAATTGGTAGCTACTAAAAATGAAACTGTGCGGTATTTTTTAGTGGATATGTTGGGAAGAATTGTACAACAACAATCACAAGTTTTATTTTCGGGTGAGAATGAAAATAGATTTAAGCTAAATGTATCACAAGCTGGGCAATATATTTTTTCGATTAAAAGCGAAGAAGGTGCAATCGTAAAATCCATTCCAATTATTGTACAATAGTAAGTTTTTTTATTATTTCTAAAAAGCTTTGGTGGTGGCTTTCCTTCGTTGCCTTGTAGCCAACAAACTAATTAGATTCCCACTTTAGAGGAAATGACACTTCGTTGCTTATGCTTTGTTGATGTTTATGTGGACACGAACCAAGGCAGCAGAGTACCAAAAACGTGTTTCTTGTATCCGAGTATAAATTTCTTAAATGCTATCTATTATTTCAATTAATAGATTAGCATTTCTTATTTAGAGATTAAAGTTTTTTATTTAGAGATTAAAGTTTTTTGTTTAGAGATTAAAGTTTTTTGTTTAGAGATTAGCATTTTAATATAAAAAATGTATTTTTGGGTAAAAAATAAAATCAATGTTAAAACATAAACGAAAATCGATACAGATTCCACAGCGTACTATAATGTTAGACATTAAGCCTATGCTCAACATTCGAAATATTACTAAACCGATTGCTTATTTGGTGAAATTGGGCTTTAATAGCGTGTCTGCACAAAACATAGCACATGGCAAATCGGTGCAGATAAATTACAATCAGCTTACAAAACTCTGCGTGGCACTCAACTGCACACCCAACGATTTGTTTGTGCTGCGCGATTTGCCACTGCCCGAAAACCATGCCTTGCACCAACTAAAAACCATGGAGCAAGCCAGTAAAAATACCTCTATAAATGATTGGTTGATAGGTAAAAGTGTATCTGAAGTGGAACTTTTGCTGAAACAATAGTTGGGTGGCACTTTACAGTAATTCCCCCTTGCCACCAAACGGTGTTATCACCGTTTAGGTTTCAGCCTTATTACTATTACCCTTTGCCTTTGATTGGCTTGTAGCCAACAAACTTTTAGTTCTTTGGTTATAAGCAACGAAGGCGGAAGGAGGTTGCTTTTGTTTTGTTTATGGTTCGTTACAAACGAACTTCTTTTGCATCCTCGTTACAAACGAGGACGAGGTGGCTCAATTATAATTTTTATTTCAGATATTATTTTACGATTTTCAATAAAAGAATAAATTTCCTTTTTAAATTCTCCCTTACCTGAAATACCTTTTGTAATACATTCAATTATTGAATCAGAATCAACTTTTTTAATATTTTGTGCTGTTAAGTTTGATATATAAAAAGTAATAAATACAATTAAAATGGCTTTCATAGTTATATTAATATATTTTAAATTATTAATTCTTTGCCTTTGTTGGCTTGTAGCCAACAAACTTTTAGTTCGTTGGTTAAAAACCAACGAAGGCGGAGTATCTCTATCTTCATCAGCAAAACCTGAAACCTTTTTTTCACTAGAAAATACTGAGGAAATTGTCCCCCAAAGCCCCTTAATAAATTGATTAATATTTGCTCCAACTACTCGCCGTTATTTGGCTTGTAGCCATCAAAGGCGGAAGACATGTTTAAAAATGATATCGTGAATACGTTTTCTAAGCATCAAATAAATTATGCTTGCTTGTTGTTAGCATTAGCTTCTTTTACTTTCTGATTTATTATTTTTTCAAACTCTTTATCAATATAATATAAACTTTGAGCACCTTTGCCAATTAATTTAATTTTATCAATAATACGTTTAAATTGTACTTCCTCTTCTCTTTGTTCATCAACAAAAAATCTGAGAAAATCTACTGTTGCCATATCTCCTTCAGCCTCTGCAATTTTTACAATATTATAGATAGATTTGGTTACAGTTTGCTCGCCTTTTAAAGAAAACTCACACACTTCTAAAATATCTTTGTAAGCATTGCGTGGTTGCTTTACAGCTGGCACAATGGCATGCTCACCAACTTCATTCAAATAATCAAAAAATTTCATAAAATGCACGTGTTCTTCATCTGACTGTGATCTAAAGAATTTAGCACAACCTTCTAGGCCTTCACTTTCGCACCATGCAGACACAGCTAAGTAATTAAATACTGCAGAGGCTTCCATTTCTAAATGTTGATTTAACGCTTTCTCTACTTTTTTTGGAATTATCATATATACAATTATTTTTGCAAAGTTAATCATTAGAACAAAAAAAGCAAATAATAGTTTTTGTTGTCATAGGATAATTTCTATTCAAAACTAACATCTTATTTTTGCGTTATAATAAAAAAAAATTTATGAGTACAAAGTCAGCAATAGACGTTAAATTACCTTACAAAGTTAAAGACATTTCTTTAGCAGCGTGGGGAAGAAAAGAAATTCAATTAGCAGAAGCAGAAATGCCAGGACTAATGTCATTAAGAGCAGAATTTGGCGAAAGCAAACCTTTACAAGGTGCAAGAATCGCTGGTTGCTTACACATGACCATCCAAACTGCAGTATTAATTGAAACATTAGTGCACTTAGGTGCAGAAGTTACTTGGAGTTCATGTAACATTTTTTCTACACAAGATCATGCAGCAGCAGCTATAGCAGCAGCAGGTATCCCAGTTTTTGCTTGGAAAGGAATGAATGAAGTAGAATTTGATTGGTGTATTGAGCAAACATTATTTTTTGGCTCAGAAGACAAACCATTAAACATGATTTTAGATGATGGTGGAGATTTAACCAATATGGTTTTTGATAAATATCCAGAATTAATATCAGGAATTAAAGGCTTATCTGAAGAAACAACTACTGGCGTACATAGATTACATGAAAGAATGGCAAAT